ACAAGCGGCTTCCTTCTCTCCTCAAACTTCTCTTAGAATGATGTATCACTATAGTGGTTTCCACCACCATATGTCTTACGGGTCTCTCCCGTTCCACTAGGCTCACTAGCCTACGAGGATCACTAGCCTAAGTCACACACTACTAGGCTCACTAGCCTAGCTCACAGTCACACTCAATCTTAGCCTTCGATATCCTCATCTACGGCTAACACTGACGGCCGCTCTCAACCGCCTAACCTCCAAACCGCCTAACGGTTTAACCGTCCAACCGCCGTACACGCACGTCGGCGTTCACTAGTTCAAACCCTAACTCGGGCCGAACCCTTATCACAGTAATTCGGCTGACTATAATCACCGAATTCTTACAAGCGCCATTAGCTCGGTGGATGCGCTTCTGCCGAAGCTCTGGGTGCATGAGCAGGGGTTTGAAGAGTCGCCCAAGGAAAGGGGCGGCGGTGGGTCGGACTCCGCAATGGTCTATGTGGCCGGGCGGAAAGGGAAGGAGAAAGTCCACGGCAAGGATGAGAGCCGGGGCAAGGGGCCCAAGTGCTATGATTGCGGGGAGTTTGGTCACGTTGCCCGGAAGCGAGAAAACCGCCCCCTGTACCGCCGAGCAGGATGGGTCGGCGGAACCGCTTAACCAAGATTTGGAGGAGAAGACCCGGGCAATGCTTGAGGACTCGGGGCTGGCCAAAGAGTTGTGAGCGGAAGCCGTGGTGACGGCCAACTACACCCGGAACCGGACGCCCGTGAGCGCCCATGGGAGGACTCTCTGGGAAGTTTTTTTCGGTGAAAAGCCGAATGTCGGTCACATGAGGGTTTTTGAGGCCCGAGCATTCCGCCACGTCCCCAAGCAGCGGAGGCGTAAGCTAGATCCGGTGAGCGAGCGTTGTGTGTTCGTGGGGTACGAGCCGGATTCGAAGACGTATAGGTTGCTCCGGGACCGTGACGGGAATTTGATCACCTCCCGGGACGCCATCATTGACGAGGGGAGCGATGGGTTGTCGAGCTCGGCTCCGACCCCACGGACGGTTCCCAGACGGCGGAGAGTCACGGCGCACAAGTTCACACGTTGGCCCATGAGGGGGCCAAAAGTTGAATCTCTGCGCGAGGGCGACGCGGCCGCCGCGCGCGCTTTCACAAACGGGCCAAACTGAGGGCAAGTTTGAAACAGTGCGCGAGACCAGGGCAGAGCCGGAAGAAACTGAGGAGGATATCAGGATGCAAACACCGGATGCCTAGAGGTACTCCGCGCGTGAGAGACGCGCACCGGGGGAGTGGTACAACGCTAACTTGGCGGCGGAACCAAAAGCGGGGGAGCACCCCAAAGGGACGGGGGAGTACCAAGTACCGCAAATTTATCGGGAAGCCGTAGGGGTAGAAGTGTGAACTATGGCGGAAGTCAATGGACGACGAGATGCGATCTTTGTTGGAGAACGGGACCTAGGAGCTCGTCGAAAAACCGAAAGGGGTCAAGCCGGTTCCCATGAAGCGGGTTTACAAGATAAAGTGGGAAGCTCTCGGAAATGTGGAGCGGTACAAACGGTACAAATCCCGATCGGTGGCGAAAGGTTACCCCCTGCAGAAGCAGGGAATTGACTTTGAGGAAGTCTACGCCCCGGTGAGCAAGCACACCACATTGCGTGCACTATTGGCGATGGTCGCGGAGCGCAACTTGGAGCTACACCAGCTGGACGTCAATACGGCGTTCCTCAATGGGGAGCCGGAGGAGGAGATCTACATGCAGCAGCCGCAAAGTACAAGCAGGGCAAGCCCAACATGGTTTGCCACCCCAAGCGCACCTTGTACGGGTTGCGCCAGGCGCCGCGTGCATGGCACATGCGCCTGAAAGAGGAGCTCGGGAATTTTGAGTTTGTGGCGTCAATGACGGACGTGGCGGCGCTCTTCACGGGGTTAGTAGCCGGAGAGCGGGTCTACCTAGTGGTGTGCGTGGACGACATTCTAGTGGCGGCAAGGAAGCGGACTGCATTGCCGAGGTAAAGGCGCATTTGGGGGAGACGTTCGACTTGGGGGAGGCGAAATACTTCCTCGGCATGGAGCTGCGCACGATAGGGAGGCGTGCGTTCTAAAGCTAATGCAAAAAAACCTGATGGGAGAGCTTGTCGGACGAGAGGACTAGCCAGCGTGAGCGACTTTGGCGCTCTCGGTCCCTCTCGAAACGGGGGACAAATTAACCAAAGAGGCTGAGCCCCTCGACACAAAGCGGTTTCCCTACAGTGAGTGCATGGGGAGCCTGTTGTACTTGAGTGTGTGCACTCGGCCCGACATTGCACAGGCAATGGGCGCACCAACGGACAAACACTGGCCGGCGGCGCTTGAAGGTTGTGCGCTACCTGGTGTTGTAAGTACGGACCGTGATGACGTCACGAGTCCCGTACTTAAACCAAGCGCGCTACCAACTGGACTATACGAGTGAGACGGGAGAGTCCAGGGTGCGAATCCCAGTGGAATCGGCTGCGGGCAAAATGGTTTGGGCGGGTTAACTACTCGGCGAGTTACTCTGGAGGGTAGAAGGCCGACTGGGAGCCTAGTCCACACCAGGGGGGTGCAGGGGGAGGTTGTTGAGATTCACCTTGTAGGGGACTAGAATTGTGTGGTTTCACCTTCATCGGGTCTTATCGTAGTTGCCCGGTGCTCAAGCTCATCACACGTTGATGGCAGCCATGCAT